GCCGGCGCGCGGTCGGATCCGCCAAATTAATGACCATTTACGCCCGAACACGTAGCGCCGGACTCTCTCGAATCGTCGCGCAGCCAGCCAGCCAGCCAGCCAGCCAGGCCGAGACAGCTCGAGGATCTCTCCTTCCCGTCTCCTTCATGTCTTATTCTTCTTTTTTTTTTCCAAGTCAAGTCATGAGATAGCGCACAACACGTACATACGTATGCACGTGTTGTAAGAAACGCCTTTCGGCGGATGAAGGTTGCTGGAGAAAGCGAAGGGAGACGGCTGGAACGGGGTTGAGCTCTTGACATATTGCTACCTAGGCAACTCGAGCAAGTGCTCTTCAAGTTGTTCCTGCCCGCGTCTATCTCGGCCGCTACCTCCCTCGCTCGGCCTTCTTATTCCTCGTCCTCGCCCGCTTCTCCACAGCGGGCTCCTCCTACGAACGAGCTGTCAGTCCGCGCCGTGGAATCGTCGGTATCGCGAGTATCTCGATCGGCGACCCGTTTTTTTTTTCAAATACGCATTCGTGGAACGTTCTCGCCGCTCGCGCTCGCGAGGGGGACGCTCGAGATCGAGCCGCTTCGCAGTGGCGACTTGAGGCTACGGTAAGATAATAAACTCGGCTGCTCGCGCACACACGCACACACACGAGGTCCATTTTCTACCGTACTCCTCCTCAGCGCTGTATTTTTACTCCTCATTTCGCCCCTGAAATTCTCCCTTCCGATCGCACCGTCGAACACGCTAAAAGCTTCCCGCTAATTCCTGCAGAAACATTTAACGGAACGTGCGCGACCTGCTCGAGGAACGTGCCCGAGGGCGACTTTCTCCGTCTCCTCTTTCTCTCTCCTCTCTCCTCCCCGCGTTCTCTCGCGGCGATCGCTGGAGAAGAATGCGCACCGGGCGATTCTGTCTCGAACGAGAAGCAGGACCCGTCGAGAAAGTCGCTTTGTCGCGTACCTCCGTAGATCGATAGATTCGTAGTGCCAGCTGTAACATAACCTCCCCCGGAGCTTCCGATATGATGCACGCTGACACCAGAGAGTGCTGCACGCTGCTGCACCGAATGCCGCAGCGCCGGAGTAGGGAGAACGATCGAGGGATCCGAGGTCGAACGCCGTCAGCTGACTGGCGCAGGAGTGGGGGCAAGGCCGCGTTCCATCACGCACGCGAGTGTTTACCAACACTTCCCGGAACGCGGACTTATCGCCCATCCACGCGCCATGTGACTCTCGGCAGCATGTGCTTCCGAGCTCAGCTGGCGCGGGCCGAGCTTCGCTCGGGCATCGATCGAGAGCCGTTCGATACGTTCATCGATGAATCCTCACTTTTAAATGTCGTGGCGCCATGTATACGGTATGTCCTTTATTTCGCTGCTCTGTCTTTTAGATTTATCTTTTTTTCGGTAATTATCGAGAGAGAGAGAGAGAGAGAGAGAGAGAGAGAGAGAGAGAGAGAGAGAGAGAGAGAGAGAGAGAATAGGGCCTCCTCACCAATTTCGCTGAAACTTTGTACAATTGTGTATTTTGGTGCGTAGAACGCGATTTTGAAAGAAAAAGTGTCGCTCTTAAACGGATCAAAGGTTCTGTTCTTTTTAATCGCAAAGTGTAAGATAGTATATACAAGTGGGGGAGAGACGGAACCCCTTCCCCACACTCCCTCCTCAAGAAAATTCTAACCTAACCTAACTTATTGCATCTTTATATATTGTTGAGCATAAGTTAAAAAAAATGTTAATCTTTTCAACAATGCCCAACAATATAGGCCCATATTCTGGATAATTACTTTTCTTTGTAAAATGGCTGTTTTGTCCTTTATTTTGTCCAAAAAATATGGTCCCTGGGTAAATATATAGAAAAGGATATATCTCACCGATTTTTTTCATTTTGAAATATGTTATAAAGGATGAAATTCTGAGTGACTTTTCCTAATACAATTATATGAGGGTCGCTTATAGTTTCTGAGATATTCGACTTTAAAGTTTTATAATTGTACGTTGAAATATATTTGAAGTAGAGGTAAATATATAGAAAAGGGTACACCTCACCGGTTTTTTTCATTTTGAAATATGTTATAAAGGATGAAATTCTGAGTGACTTCCTGATACAGCTATATGCGGGCCGCTTATAGTTTCCGAGATATTTGATTTTAAAGTTTTGGAATTTTGATTATCCTGGAATTAAATTCCAGATATCATAAGCTGACGTTATTTACAGTACAATCCAAACAGTTAATCCAAACATAGTGTATGCATAGAAATATAGGAAACAGTATATATAAGCGGGGGAGGGGCGGAGCCTCTCCCCCGCACTCCTTCCCCAAAAAAAAATCCTAACCTAACCTAATTTATTGCATCTTTATATATTGTTGGACGATGTTGAAAAGATCTCCTTAAAAGCCATAACACCTAATTATATGTAGATATTATAATAAGTTAAGTTGAACCAGGTGATAGATCTTAAGAGAACTTTTTTCAACAATGTCCAAAAATATATAAAGATGCTATAAGAGTTAGGTTAGGTTAGGATTTGTTGGGGCGGAGTCCCTCTCCCGCTTATATGCTACTGTTTCCTATATTTAAAGTGAATGAAAACTGCTTGTCTGCTTCAAATATACTTCAACGTACAATTATAAAACTTTTGAGTCAAATATCTCAGAAACTATAAGCGACCCACATATAATTGTATTAGGAAAAGTCACTCAGAATTTCATCCTTTATAACATATTTTAAAATGAAAAAAATTGGTGAGGTGTACCTCACCAGGTGAAGTTTCTATATATTTACCGGTCCCTGTAATACAGCAGCCATACGTCTTTTATTTAAGAGGACAGTCGTTTATTTCACTGCTCCATTCTTTAGATTTTTTTTCTTCTAAAATGGTTATTTTGTCCTTTATTTGGTCCAAAAGAATATGATCTTCGTAGCTTTGAAGCAAGGACCTTTAGCAAGTTGAGGTTTCCGACAGCTATACACGCAAGATCGTTCCCTCTCCGGATGGACGTTAGCCGCATCGGAATTTCGCGGACGATCGTCCGCGAAAGTTGAGATTCATCGCGACGGGGGATCCGGGAAATTACAGGGATTTGGATCGCGACAATATTGCGAAGCTTGTTTTCGTTCTCAGCTCGCCGAGGTGTAATCGTGGGAGGAAGGAGATAATAATGCGCACGATGTTGCGTTTTGCGGTTAGACGCGGCGAGAAGCGCGGGTGTGTATACAAATCCTTCGTTCGCGCGCGAACACACGGGAAGTCACAGGTCAAGATGCATCCTCGTAGAATATCGCGACGAGAACTTCGGGAATTATTCAGCCGTGTTGTCAGCGAAATTACGTATCGCGATATTGCGCGCGGAGGTCGGGGTGTATATATGGTATATTCGTCGGACGAGAGCAGAGCGACAATTTAATGTGTATATAATAATGTCTTGAAAAAGAGGAACGCGAGTGACAGCGCTCGGAGACGAACAAGCCAGGTTGACAGGCGGTCGGTCGCTCGCGTAGCTTTTTCCTCGCGATCGTCGGCGCGGGCTCGTCGTGCCCGATACGCGAACGCGATAAAACGTCACGGCGTTAATTAGCGCTTGAGACACTTGAGTTCTTACGCGGCGGATTAACGCGGCGCGATATCCACGCGATGCCGGTACCTCGTCTCGATCGCGCGCGCGAGCGCGTTATTCGGAAAACCGTCACCGATCTCAGCGTGATTTACTCAATGAGAACGCGCCGGTGGCCAGCGAAGTGTTATCGATGAGAGTTTGGATGGGCATTGTTTTGTAGTTTGCTACTAAACGCTCCATCCATCAGCCGCTATCTTGATGAAATATTCTACTAGTTCCCATTCACGCGGCGCAAACCGCTTGACTCGAGCGGCAGTTCGAGCTAATTGTGAAGCTCATTGTCACAGCACGACGCGACGCGACGGTCTGAGAACGCGTAGTCTGCGCGCGTTTCATTGAAAAATGGAAACACTTCAATGAATCGCTCCATAAACGCGAAACCCCTTACTCCGCCGCGTAATCGTCGCTCATCTGATTTACTGTCGGCTACGACGATCCGAGAAATCTGCCTCGTCGTCCGTCGATCTTCACAACCACCACGAGCGTTTACAGAGAGGAGCTCTCTCTCTCTCTCTCTCTCTCTCTCTCTCTCTCTCCTCTCCGAGGACGAGACGAAAAGGCGCGAGAGAGGCCGCGATCGTCCTAATCGTCCATGTATAAGCGTATCCTACGAGCGGGATTTCTCTTGTTACGCTCGCGCCTCTCACCTTCGGATCTGCTCGATTTAATTTAACGTTCTGCTCGAATCCTCGCGGGGATTTGCATAAGAATATAACCCGAGGCGGCGGCGGCCTGCTCGGAGGTCCGCGCAGACCGAGACTTTGTTAAAGAGGAATTTACAATTCTCCCCGTAAGGAACCGTGGTGAGATTTCAGCAGCCCCTGTGGAGCGGAGCGGAGCACAGGGATGATACAGGCAGAATCGAACGATCGTTCTATTAATGCTGCAATAAATGCTGGAAATGCTCATGCTTATTCGCCTCTTCCCCTCCCCACCGCTCCTCCCACCGATATTCTCAATTCCCTTCGCGAATTACTCGAGGAGAAACGATCGTGGCCGCGATCGCGAGGCGAGCTCGCGCGCGAAACTCTACGCCGAAGAGGCATAGACACCACGCCGTAGTCGCCGGTATCTTTCACTTCTGTAATCAATCTCACGTCGCTTTATACATTCCAATGAGCTCGGTAACCGGGCGCGACTTCCTATAGGTAATTTCCTATTAATACCCTCGTCATCCCGACCACACACGCGGTGACCTGGATCGATGAGAGTTTCGAGACACACTTTCCCTCTACGAAATTTCGCGCCAGGTCGCCCTCGCTCGAACCGATCGCGGTCGCGATCGAGACGCGTGCATCTCTCTCGTCTCGCAAACATGCACGATCCGAAGAGAGGCGTTAGTCGCTTTCTCATCATTTCCCTCACACATTGCTCTCTTCTGCTTGCAGGTAATATGGGTGTGCATACTCTGCCGGAAGAAGCAGGAACTTCTTTCGAAGACCGGACAATGGATGACGAAGACTGGCCTCGCCGCCGCGGACAGCGCGATGCTGCGACAAATGCAAGAGGACATGCAGGTGGGTGGTCCTCAGGGACTCGTGGACCAAACTCAGGATAAAAGACCGAAACTCGAGAGGGCGCACAGCGCGGCTGAGAAAGAGAATTTGCCGTTGTTACAGAGAAGCGGAAACTGTCTGCTCAAGAGACAGTACTCCCAGCAGGACCAGGTAACGTTCCCTTCACTCGTTATCGATATCTCCTTGCGAGGAGCGCACGCGCTTTATTTATGAGACAGAGCTACTTTTTCGGGCACATACCACGAGGTTGCGATTCGTAGTTGCGTCTTGAGTCGTATCGCGTATGTTTCGCATTTCACGCGTCTCGCGTCTCTTTCTTCACGAGTCATTTATTTGCGGGTGGAAGAGAAGAGAAGAGAGGAGACCTTGAAGGATCACCGACCCCATAGACTCGTATACATGGACTAAGCGCTTTACAAAAGCCGAAAAAGGATAGCCTGTGCTTGGGACGTTGTCAAATTTGAAAATTGGAAAAGACTTGCAAGAAAAAGAAGACAGGGGAAGAATGTAGCTTATAAAAAGAATTTTTTAAGAGATATCAACCTTTTTTGTGTGAATGTTTATTGCAACTAGTCGTTCCCGACTAACCAGCAATTTTATTTTGTCTTTATTTTGCAAAAGTATAATCTAGAATTGGCCAGCGCATTTCCTAGTTAAAATTGATGTTGTATTGTTGTTAGGTCAGTTCATGAGGTTTAGTTCTCTTTAATTTTCGCCTTAATTCCTCGAACTTAAATAGCTGATGGACCTCAGCGTTCATTGTGCTCACGTGGTCTATCTTGATGTCTTCGCGCTAAGAGATATCAATGGATAAGGAACATTTCATAATCTGGACATTTCTAAATTAGCTGGACAGTCTCAGCTGGATAGCTGAGAGATGATAAAATCTAGACTGTCCGGCTGAAATCTGGGCGTCTGGCGTCTGGCCTAACCTGTGCCGCAGGCATTCCACTCTTGTCTGGCTTGTCTGATTTTTATTGGAAAAAGCTAGAGGATAGAACGTACCTGTGAACAGTGAAAGAGAGAGAGAGAGAGAGAGAGAAAGGAGGGGGAGGATATAGCTCCTTTAAATCTTTTTCAAATCTCTCACAAGACAGCGCAGTCTATGTATGTGAGTGTATGATCGGTGGCCGCGTGATCGTCAGGCGCGGCGCCAGACGCTCAGTGCATTCCATTTTGCTGTTGCAGATCGCGGGTAGCCGAATGTCCGCCGACAACGAGGTGGAGATAGCAGTTTCGCCTCACGTGAGAACTTTACCGACACCTCACATGGTGGTCGGTTCTTATCCGATGCAACAAACCCTGCGACACCCCGCAGTCTTCCCTGACGACGATCCCAATTTATACCAAGGCGAAATCGACGGTTTGATGAGGCAACTTCCGCAGAACTATCAGAGGCAACGGCCGACCTATCCGGTGAGTAAGCCGACGACTCGGAATCGATTCTCGCTGAGGCGATAGGAATCAGTTGGCGTGTAGCGTGGCCGTGATCGAAATGAAATTCGCCGGATTGATTTCCTCGCATCGTTCTCGCTCCGTTGCGCGACATCGGAAAATCCGGCACTCTTTAGACTTCTCTTTCGGGTTTCGAGTCTTGCGAAATCCTCGCACTCTCCTATTTTTCCTTCGTTTGACAATGAAGGTTACGGTCGATCTTGATTCTTCTCCATTTGTCATCCCGAAAATCATAGAGACGCGATTAGAAACGTATATCGCGACTTGAATTCGATCAGTTTCGTAATTGGCGGATTGTTCGGCGCGCGACGCAGGATCAGAACGTCGATCTCGGGATGACTTACGGCCAGACGACGGTGGAATCCGTTCCCGTTCGGACCGCGATGCAGCAGCATTCGATGCATCAGACACAAGCCGGACATCCCGTTCAACCTGTTGTGGGCGTCCAGCAACAAAGGAGCTTCAGCAGCAGCGAAGAGGAACGAAGCACGCCGGAGTGCGCGAGCGACGAGCCGGACGAGTCGGAGAAGGGTAAGTGAATCCCCCAGCTCGATATTTATTTCTGGCTCGGCGACTTATCGCTCGATACACCGATCAAGCAGATTCATATTTTATGCAATTAGCGAAATGACTTAACTTGAGGCACTTGATGCTACTCGGCGATGCGAGTGCTGGCTCCATTTACATTCACCTCTCGAGGAAGTCTCGTTTCGACGAAGATTTCACAGAGGAAGAATTCCTACGCGAATAGGTCTCCACTCTCCATACGTATAATTGCTATTACACAAAATTCAAAGTCTGACAAAGACACAATCCGAACCCCGTTTTGTGTCGTAAAAGACGTTTTCAGCGGAAACTCTCGGTGAAATTGAGAGGACAGGACGCGCGTCGGTACGCTAACGGCGGCACGTGCTTGCCCAAATTACGCGCGCGTCCTTCGATCCTTCTCGCTCATCCGGCACATTAACTCATCGGCTGATCGACGCGGAGCGAACAGTCCCGGGAGTTGGACTGTTGCGTGAAGTCTACGTGGACATTTCGCAGACGCTTCATCGGCTCACTTGCGAAAGCGGAATTACCGAATCGTCGGCGGATTGGCTCCGTGCATGACGGCCTCGTCAGGACGAGCCTCTCTCGATCGGCTTGGCTTCGCCCTTGAAAGTCGTCGCACGAGGAAAGCGCAGTCTTTCCGTGTCAATAGATATTTGGTTTACGAGGAATGCGTGGTTACCCGGCCGGGCGATTGAGGAAAGTGCAATCGATCGATCCAATGCTCGTGTTTGTTCACAACACAACGTGCGTGCGATTATAACTACGCGTCGGCCGCGGCGGTTGCGTCGAAGTGGAATTTATACCTGCAGAGAACGCACCCGGCAGAGAGAGAGAGAGAGAGAGAGAGAGAGAGAGAGAGAGAGAGAGAGAGAGACACGACGACGACGACGACGATGAGGCGACAGCATCCGCGCAACGAGATCGCGTCGCAATCGGTTCTGTGGATTTAACGAATCGATTTCACGCGCGCATATGTCGATACCTCGATACCTCGATACCTCGCGATACCAGCGCGTTTGCCTGTGCTCCCGCGCCTCTGTAAAACCAGCTGCGACGCGGCCCGAAAAGTCGGACAAAAGAGAGAGGGGCGAGGAGGAGGGAGAGGGAGAAGAAGAGAGCGACAGAAGAACCGTGTGTGTGTGCATGCATGCGGTTCACGGTTGATTAGACGCGGGATCGGCGAACTGTGAACCGTACTCATCCAGGTGCGCGCACCTGTGGGGTGCGCGCGCGTTTCTCTCGCGGCACGTACAGGAATAACTTGGACTCTCTGGTCGCCTCCTCTCGCCTCCTGGCGCTACTTTTTCCAGCGATGAAGGTCGCGACGGAGGAGCGCCGGTACGGGGATCGAGTTTCCCTCGCGTCGATCGCGTCGCGAAAAGCCGACGAGAGTTCGCCTTTGCCCGCTCGCGGGGTTTCGAGAGAGATCGCCGCGTTAATAATAAAATACGCCGAGGAGAGGCGTAGACCCGGCGCGATTTATACGCGTCGGATCGCCCGGAGTCTCTCCTCCCACGGGGGGAATCAGAAAGCCACAGAGTTCGTTTCCCGCCGAGAGGCGGACTTCGCGGATCAAACGATCGATCGTCTTTCGCGCTGGCTCGGTTATAGCCGGAGCCAGCTGTTCGCAACGCGTCGAGCGCTAATTACGTGCGCGACATTGACGCGCGCACGCGGGGGGGATGGAGACAGAGGCTGCGGGCGCGAAGTTTGCGGAGCTAAACAGTGTAAAGGTAATAGAGATAGGATCGCGGGGAGAACAATACGGTCGCGTTTAATAATTTCCATGCGGGCGCATTGTGCGCCAACGGTGGGAACGCACGTGAAATGTCGCGTTATATAACTTGATGCGCGCATATCGATTTTATAATGGCCCGCCGCCTCTTTCCAGTTTTCGCGATCCGGCGACGCGCGATACGAGCCGCGCGTTCGGGCGATATCGACCGGACGATTGCGCGACACGGACGCGCGCGCGCGCGCGCGCGCGTCCGTCCGCCTTCGATCGCCACCTGTGATAGACGTAACCCGTGGCCGTCGTTAAATTCGCGCGATCGGCGCAACCCTCGCGCGATCGTGTATCGTGTATTGCGCCGTATCGCCCGATATCCTGCGGGAATTCTCAGCTTCTGCCCTCCCGGTCTCGCCGTTGCATTGATCCTTGGCGTCCTCTCGCCCCTCGCACGCCCTTCCTGCCTTCTCTCACTCCACCTCCCTCTCTCTCTCTCTGTCTCGCCCCCCCCTCCCCACGCTCGCGCGCTCTCTTTCTCTCCCTAACGCGGTCTTCCTATTTCCACCCCATCTCTCTTCTTCCTTCTTAACGCTCTCGCTCACTCGCACTACGCGCCCACGCGCTGGGCGGTGACGTCACGCGGCCAGCACGTGGGCGAATTCAAACATTCGCCCCTTCTTCGTTTCTGGGTAGTCTTTCGACCCCTATCCGCCGGAGCCTAGGCAAAAAAACGTCGTCGTCTTTCGAGGCACGGTGTACTCCCACTCACCCGATTCATCTGGAGATCATCTCGGAAATCATTCTGCTTTCTGGTAACCGAATTTACGACTGCACTTCTGAGCCCTGGCCTCGTTTCGATTTTTCCCTCCCGCTCCCGTTTCTCTCTTTTCCTCTCATCCCCCTTCTCTCTCTCTCTCTCTCTCTCTCACTCATTCGCTCACTCACTCTCCCTCGCTCGTCGGGAACGATTCGAGGGCTTTGTAGGCGCGCGCGCGTTATCGTACTCTCGTCGTTCGCAAACGCACGGGGAGCCGGCGGAATTGACGTCGCTTTTGACATGGATATAACTGTAAACCAAAGTCCCATCGACTTCGCGCGAGTTTACTCTCCCCCGGTGGAGAAGAAGAGAAAAAGCAAGAGAGAGAGAGAGAGGAGAGAGAGAGAGAGAGAGAGAGAGAGAGAGAGAGAGAGAGAGAGAGAGAAAAGGGAGGCAGGGAAAGAGCAACGCATCGTCCACGGAGAACGGGGTTACGAAATGTCATCGAGAGCACAATGAAGATCATGTGAACCCGCACACCCGCTTGCCACTCTCGGCTCGTTACTTATGAACAGAGCGCTCGGAAACTTTGACATTTTCCCTCCCTCGGGACGATGAAAGAACTGCGTATATCATACGACAACGCTTGCCAAGACCAATGCGAGAGAGAAAGAGAGGGAGAGAGAGAGAGAGAGAGAGAGAGAGAGAGAGAGAGAGAGAGAGAGAAGAGAAGAGAAGAGAAGAGAAGAGAAGAGAAGAGAAGAGAAGAGAAGAGAAGAGAAGAGAAGAGAAGAGAAGAGAAGAGAAGCATCCGCACCCGCCCATTGACGTTCGCTCGCGTTTACGTTCGCCACGCGTTTCTACGCTACGCGTATCATCGCGCCAAAGTGTACATCGTAATTATCGCGCACGCGAAAATTCATGCGCAATTCGTGTACGCGTTCGTACGTTTTTCATGATTGATTACCCGCGACAAGGGCCGGGTTGCTCGGCGCGCGAGTGGGCAGAGGGGAATTCTGTATTCGCCGAGGAGAATTAGCGTAGTTGCGTTTAACTCGGTATATTCAACAACAGCTACGGCAGCTACGACGATGTTTCACGCGCCGGTCTCGATTTTTCGCGCGTTCACGGCGCAACGGGGTCGCGAACATTGTCGGCGGGCGGTCTCATATAAATTTAATCCGAAGACATTGCAATCTGACGGGCGACCGAGCAAGCTGCTTCGACGCCGTGTTCATTTTTTACCCCCCCATGGAGCGCGCGCTCTCTCTCTCTCTCTCTCTCTCTCTCTCTCTCATTTCTTTGTTTCTTTTTTTCTCATTCTTTCTCTCTCTCTCCCTCTCGCCCCCGCATAAATCTGGCGCCGCGTGCGGCCGAGAGCATCGAAATTAGTTTTTACGTAGGAATCAAAGCACGTAACCGTACCTATTCGCGGAAATATATGCGCGCGCGTCCGGAAGCAGTATGGTAAAGGGAAAGAGCAGACGGAGGGAAAGGGAGGACGCGACGAATCGAATCGTTTAACATTACACTTTTACCTTTGCACTGTAACAACCTCGGCATATGTCGCGTTGTATTTGTAAAACAAATATTTCGGATGCGTTGCGCGCACGCATCGAAATTATTAATCCCACGTTGGAAGTCAAAGTGCGTGACCGAACGCATTTCCGGAGGTACACCCGCGCTCGCCCAGCAGCGAAAGGACAGAGAGAGAGAGAGAGAGAGAGAGAGAGAGAGAGAGAGAGAGAGAGAGAGAGAGAGAGAGAGAGAGAGAGAGAGAGAGAGCCGAGAGAGATCGAATAGGTTAATGTTATTCTCTTACCTTTGCACTATAACGACTCCGGCACGTAGAATACACAGAGCGTTATATCTAAAATAACTCCGGCGCACCCCGAGTACACGCGTCCCTCGTTTGCGTTAATCCGCGTGATAAAAGCGCTCCCTTCGACTGACGACCCGAAGGGTTGCGGCTGACGAGCGTCGGTAAAGACCGAGCGAAACCGCCGACTTCGATGCCGACGACGTCCGGAGCGCGTTGGATCTCGCAGCTCGCTCGCGTTATTTGTTCCAAACGTCCGGTAAGCCCTACCCTGAGAGCGACGCGCGAAGAAGACGGCGAAGCGTGCAGCGATTCCCTAAATAAGAACGAGCTCGAAGGTAACGAGTTACGAAGGTAACAATTACATCCGGCAATGCACGGGCGTGCCCATCCGCGAATATCCGGTGATGCAAGCTTGCGTTAGGTTCCGCAGAGCAGAATCCCTCGAAGGGCGGGAAGGAGGGAGAGAAATGCGCACATCGGCTTTGATCTCGTCGTCTCTACACCTCCGCGTTTATTTCTGTCGAATTGGAGGGGGGGAGAGAGGGCGATACGTACAACCCGGGGCTCTCTCCGACTGTCGCGTCTACGTGCGTCGCCGCATGATATTTCCTCTCGACCGCTGCGTATCGGCCGTGCGCGGTCGTCCGGGGTAAACACGCTGCGTCGGAATC